CTGAGTCAGTCTTCTCATATACTATTAAACCATTCCTTAGAATTATGTGCCTAAATTTAAGTGAGTACATTTTTGTGTATTTGCTAATAAAGTTTTATCTGCTCTTATTTTCAGTTCCAATTCTACGAATTTCAAAATAGTAGATGTAGCTGAGACTGCACTTTACATACCATTAAGCCAGCTGCTGCCACTTAAAGAAATATTTAACAATATACAATCCCTTATTTGACTTGATAAGAAAAAGAACATAGTTTATCATTTTATACAATAAGTTTAAAACTTGGTCTGTATATTTAAAATACACTCTGCTTGAAAAATGAATGAAATTATCCTACATTTCCCCTTATAAATACTAAATTTCCACTCCTGGTGGGCAAGTAGATATTCCGTGGCTGCTAAAAATATTTCTGTTAAGCCAATTATTTATAGATGAGCTAGATCTCAAATCTTAGTGCATATACACAAACTTTTAATACAGGATTTATATTTCATGTCATACTTCATACTCTCCTGGAAGATGTGGCTAAAATCTGCTTATGTTTTTTAGATGTATAATAGAAGATATCTTTGGGAAAAGTACTCACTGTATGAATCAATGTTCTCACAAAGATTCCTCTTTGATCAAACTGTAGTTAGGCTCCTCTGTGCCCTTGTCTCAACTAGACCTCGACCTTGGACTTCTGTGGATTTAGCAAGAATCCTGCTAAGTCAGCTTAATGAGAGTCCCCCCAACCTTTGATATCTGATCACCCTGGCCTGCTTTTAGTGGAAATCCTATTAAGTCGGTTTAGCAAGAACACCTTCCCACAGCCCCCAACTACCCCTGTGATTTCTCTTCTTAGTAATTTTCCATCCACTGACCTCCCTTACCCTCCCATCCTGCTCCTTGGCCATAAATTTCCATGTGTCCCTGTTGTATTTGGAGTTGAGCCTGATCTTGCTCCCTATTGCAAGACTCTTAAATTAAGTTTTCCTTACCATTTTAACATGTCAGAAATATTTTAAAAATATTTTTTCCAGAAAAAATATTTCAGTGAGATATAAGTATATAAAGAAAGAGATTTATTTTAAAGAATTAACTGATGGTGATTCTGAAGACTGAGAAGTCCAAAATCTGAAGGGCAGCCTGGCAGGACAGAAACCCAGTCAAGGATTGAAGTTCTAGTGTTAAATCCAAAACATATAGAGCAGACTGACAGACTGCAAATTTAGGTAAGATTTCTGCATTACAGTTTTAAGGCAGAATTCCTTTTTCTCCTGGAAACTTACCTCACTTTTTGCTTGTAAGACCTTCAACTGATTAAATGAGTCCTATTCACTTTATTGCAGATAATCTCCTTTACTTAAAATCAACTGATTCTAAGTGCTGATCACAACTATAAAATATCTTCACCTTCAACATTTAGACTAGTGTTTGACCAAACAACTGGACACCATAGGCTAGCCAAGTTGACACATGAAATTAACTATTATAAGCACCAAAAGCCATTCTATTGTGTTCCAAACAGCAAGTCACCATGCCAAAGCTGTATATGAATAATTAAAAGGCATATCTCAACTCTATTTAAATGTGGATTACTGATACTTTCTACCTTGTCCTTATCAAAATTCCACTATTCATATATCTTTGATCAATTCCTAACTGAAAATGATCTTCAAGTTCTGAGTATGACCTCATATGTCAAAAAGCTCCATCAGAAAAAAACTGTAGAAGATAGGAAGGTAGGATATTCATTTTCTTTCCAGAAATCTTGATGGACATACTACTCTCATCATATTCCCAAGTCAGCTATGTTTTTTACAGACAAAACACTCTCCTGAAGCATTCTTAGGTTTAAACACTTGGAGTGCATTGAACCATTTATGTAGCCCACTGGCGCAGTTTATGGCAGTATTTCTATCACTCACAGAAGCCTTGGGGAAAATCATGGATTTCAGGGGCTTTGTTGGCTGAGTTAAGGTTCGGATTTATGCTTTTTACTAGTTTTAAATAAAGAGGGAAAATGATCATAAAATCCAGGCTCAATGACTAAGAATGATTTACTTAAACATTTATTCCTTCAAAAAATTTACTTAGATTTGACAATTTGCTATCTAAAAATTAAAGAGATAGTAGAAATAAATGACAAATGTTTACTTAAACTCTTCCTTTCTTGGAAAAGAAAGCAAAATTCAGATCAAAGAAATGATTATACTAGGAGTATGAAGGTCACAAAACTCCACTCAATCAAAATCAGAGCAAAGGCAGACACAAAGTAGCAGCTAAGGAGTCTGAGGGGTAAAACATGCAGAGAGAAGAACAGAGGACTAGGAAAGCTTTTCAGAAAGAGTAGATAGTTTCCATAGCAACAAAGCATAATGTTCTCTCAATGTAAAAGGTCCTTTTTTTTTTTTTACTTAAGTATGGTCAGTTACAATGTGTCAATTTCTCGTGTACAGCATAATGTCCCAGTCATGCATATATATACATGTATTTGTCTTCATATTCTTTTTCACTAAAGGTTATTATAAGATATTGAATATAGTTCCTTGTGCTATAAAGAGGAAATCTGTTTTTTTTAAATCTATTTTTATATCTAGTGGCTAACATTTGCAAATGTCACAACTCCCAAATTTATCCCTTCCCAAACCCTTTCCCCAAAAGATCCTATTTTGAATGCATTATTGCTGATTCAGATGCAAAAAAAAAAAAATGTTGCTTAGAGAAGATGGCATAGGAATTTACATACCACAAGTCCCAAGTCTAGGAAGCTATGAGTTGCTAAGAATACACTTGTAATTTCTGTTGTTAGAGTTATATGTCTATAAGATATTTGTATTTGGAGGTGCAACTTATTCAATCTATGAAGACTTTAAAGCAAAAGGGTAAGAATAACCTAAAATTTGACACTTTACTTACCAAATCTTGCACATTAGAAATGTCTCCAACCACAAGAAAGAACTCTTTTCCCCCATATTACACATGGGGTAGTAGTAGCTGTGCATGTATGTGTTTATTTAGAGACAGAAAGAGAGAAATAAATAAAAATTTCATTTAAAAACATGTGTACCAATATGGAATGAAGTTGTTGCAAACTAGATAACTATTCAGAAATATTTACTTCAACCATGCCCCACCTCTGTGGGCATAAGGTGTATCACAAAACAAGCTTTCTTTAGAACAGGTCATGTTGTTTGTATTTTTTAGTGGATTATAGCAGGTGTGAAGTGACAAGAGTTAAAAATCCATGTACTATTCTTTCTCTCTTGAACTTTAGTCATCACCCTAAGATAAATATGTGTAGTCTAGCCTGTTGCTGCAAGCAGTATAAGAGAAACACGGAGCAGATACACTTCAACTGAGTCCATCTTAGATCAACTAACCTAGTTGAATTTGGGAGTGTTTGTTACACAGAAATAGTCAACCATTATTACAATCGGCAACTAGAAATGGAGTGCTAGAATAATAAGACCCTAAAATATGTAGCATTGGCTTTAGGAGTGAGAAGCAAGTGAAGATAGGAAAAAACATAATAAAACTACTACTGGAGGCTTGAAAAATAGAAATCTGTCTTATGTCACCCACAGTAACTAAAAGATATTTAATGAAGATTGTTGCCAGGCAGATTGTGGAATGCACAAACTAGCTTCTTTTGACCTCATATAATCAGGTTCTACAAGACAGAGGTAAGTTCAGGAAGAAGAAAAAGCAAAACACAAAAAAACCAGGCCACAGGCCACTTAAAGGCAGAATTTCGAAAGAAAATAAAACTGTTGAGTGTGGTTTCTACTTCCACATATAGGGACTTGGAATGGAAGTCACCACTTCATCCTAACAGGTAAAAAGCTGAACAGACTGAAATATCAATAACTTTTCTTGGATCCATAAGACAAGGGAGAACACAGGACAATTTGCTGCTCACCAAGACTGGAGAGACAATCGAGCGAATACAGGGAGTCATTGCTCACTGGAGCAGAGACTCACAAGTGGAAACCAGAAACAGCCACAGGAAGCAATGCCAGTGTGAGGAGACCTGAACTGCAATTGATGAGTTCCCTGAGGCTCAATGTGGACCAGTCCAAGAATTAAATCTCCCGGGGAAGCCCATCATAGAAGGAACTCCACAATACTGTGCCATTTATCTCTAGGAACTTGACAAGGTTTCCACAGTAACTGTTAGAAAAAAAAAAAAATCTCATAGTTCTGGTAGGAGGAGAGGAAATGGAACAATTCTGAAATATGCCAGAGCACTCTTGTTCTTAACAAGGCCTACCCTCAGGGGAAAGTATTTCACAAGAGCCTAACCTACTGGTGTATTATCAGAGCTGAACTGATTTGGAGAAGGTAAAATACCCAACTTCAGTCCACTGTACCATCCTATCTCACCCAAGAAGAGGAAACAAAAAAATCAGAAAAATTCCTATCAAGTTCAGAATCCAGATGTATAGGCTCATTTAAAGGCTGACACTTAATCACAGGATTATAAAATGCTTCTCCTTTCCCTGCACTTTACCACCACCTTACTAAAGGCCTATATTTACAGCAGTTCCTTGTACCCAGTACATCATGTTCAGCTAGCAAGAAAAAAATTACAAAGATTACCAAAAAGAAAATGACACAATTTGAAGAGAGAGAATAAGCATGAGAACCTGACATGCAGGACTGTCGGAATTACTAGACTGAGAATTTAAAACAACTCTGATTAACATGCTAGGGGCGCTAATGGATAAAGTAAACACCATGCAATAGCTGTAATCAGAGAGATGAAAATCCTAAGAAAGAACCAAAAAGAAATGCTAGAGATCAAAAACACTGTAACAGAAATGAAGAATGCCTTTGATGGGCTTATTAGTAGACTGGACACAGCTGAGGAAAGAATCTCTGAATTAGAGGATAAATCAATAGAATCCTCAAAAATGGAAAGGCAAAGAGTAAAGATTGTAAAAAATTAGCATAAAATATCTAAGGATGTAGGAAAACTGCAGAAGGTGTGACAATGCATAATAAAAATACCAGATTAGTGCTCACTTCAGCAACACATATACTAAAATTGGAATGATACAGAGATTAGCCTGGCTCCTATGCAAGGATGACATGCAAATTGTGAAGTGTTCCCTAAGCGTGAAAAAGAATATGAAATGAAATATATGTATATATATATATGTATGACCGAAACATTATGCTATACACCAGAAATTGACACATTGCAAACTGACTATACTTCAATAAAAATTAATTAATTAATTAAAAATACCAGAATATATATTGGAAAGAGAGAGAGAAACTAAAGATATATATGAAACAATAATGACTGAGAATTTCCTCAATTTAATATCAGAATCCAAACCATTAATCCAAGAAACTCAGAGAACACCAAGCAGGATAAATGTCAAAAGACTACATCAAGGTATATCATTTTCAAACTACAGAGAATCAAAGATAAAGAAAAACTCCTGAAAGAAGTCAGAGAAAAAAAACCTTAACAATAAAGGAACAAAGTTAAGTAATTACCTCACACCAGTCAGAATGGCCATCATTCAAAAGTCCACAAACAAATGCTGGAGAGGCTGTGGAGAACAGGGAACCCTCCTACACTGTTGGTGGGAATGTAGTTTGATGAAGCCATTATGGAAAACAGTATGGAGATCCCTCAAAAAACTAAAAATATACTTATGCTATGATCCAGCAATCATACTCCTGGGTATATATCCAGAGGGAGCTCTAATTCGAAAAGATTCATGTACCCCCAATGTTCATGGCAGCACTACTTACAATAGTCAAGATATGTAAATGTCCATCAACAAATGACTGGATAAAGGAGTTGTGGTATATTTAAACAATGGAATACTACTCAGTCATAAAAAGGAATAAAATAATGCCATTTGCAGGAACATGGATGGACCTGGAGAATGTCATTCTAAGTTAAGTAAGCCAGAAAGAGAAAGAAAAATACCATACAATATGACTCATATGTGGAATCTAAAAAAAAAAAAAAAAACGAAAAGAGAGAGAGAGACACAAATGAACTTTTTTATAAAACAGAGACAGACTCACAGACATAGAGAACAAACTTATGGTTACCAGAAGGGGAAAGGGGGTGGGAAGGGATAAACTGGGATTTCGAGATTTACAGATACTAACTATTATATATAAAATAGATAAACAAAATGTTCTGTATAGCACAGGGAACTATATTCAATATCTTGTAGTAACCTATAATGAAAAAGAATATGAAAACAAATATATGTATGTATATATATGACTGAAACATTTTGTACACCAAAAATTAACACAACATTGTAAACTGACTATACTTTAATAAAAAAAACCCAAAAAATTAATTGGTACTTCTGGTTTTTAAAAATTACATAGATACATACATATGAATGTATATATTTTTACACATACATATATACATACAAATATACCATTAATTAATTAGTTTGTTTAACATAGCTTTCATGAGAACTTACCATGCATTGTACTAGGTATTAGAGACACAGAAGTACATTGTATTACCTATGCAAGGAGGAGATGGTGAACATTAGAGTAACAGAATTCCAGTAAAAGATAACAACATGGGCAAATTTCCAATAAGGGAAGAATCAGGAAGTTAATTCTGAAAGTGAAATAGGTTGGCATTGATAGACATGCATGGGGAAGGAGAGCCTGTGAGATAAGGCAGAAAACATAGTACCACTGAGGTACTTTCAAGATGTTCAGATTTTTGGTTCTCATATTAGACAGAATGGAAACCACTGAAGGATTTTCAATAAAACAGTGTTGGTAATATTAGTATTCCTTCAAACTTTACTTTGATTGGGTGTTTCAGTTCAGCGAATCTAACTCAACTTAAATTTATCTTTAATATGCAAATGTGATAACTTTTAAGTATCTGCCACATCTCTTTTTTCAGTTTATTCATATTAACTATTTTATAGTAATTTTTACCTTCTATTTACGTGTTGCTTTTAAAATTATGACATAGACTTGATCATTGGTGATGTATGACAACATTTTGATGATCTGTCCCTGAAAATTTTGTCCTTTCTGGAAAGCTAGGATTGTATCGTACTGGAAATATTCTTCCTTTTATCTTGTTTATAGAAATATCACAATGGGACTCTGAATGAAGCATGACAAACTGATTTGACTCTTACATTTTTTTCAGGGAGGGGGCAGGAGCACCACCTCTAAGAACCTATTTCCTTACTCTCTCCACAAAAATACAGAAGGAGAAAAGTAACATGCAAAACAACAAGATCAGCAAAGACATCCTCCTCCTCAGATTGTCCAAGAGTTAAGGGCAAAGCAGCCTCTCCCCACCAAGGATTCCCACTCTACTTCGGGGTCTGAAATCTAGAAGAGTTGGGTGCTGGGCTCAACTAATGATTGCAAAACACAATGATTATATTAAACCAGAGCTTGAAGGCTCATCTCACCCATTTCCTTGGTTTCCTCTCTCCCAAGATGAGGTCAAGGTAGGACAAACTAGCTCTCAAGGGCATGTATTCTGCAAGACACTTTCTAAAGTTCAAATATTCTCAAAAATGAAATTTGCAAATGGAAAGATCAAAGGACAGTTGACCATTTCAGAAATGTAATAAGATAAATATATATACATTTTTAACGTCAACAGAGAAGACTTTGAAGGGTCTTGCATTGGCAGTTAAATGCTCTAGTTCAAGTGTGACTCATATCTTTTCTGAGCATTAGCTGTTGGTCAGAATTTGTCATATGTCTCGGCCTAACAAACAGCGGACTGTGGAACTGTAATCTTCCCTCTTACCCCAAGAAACAATTTGTTCAGAGGTTAAAAGGTATGTTGTCCTACTGTCTTACACATGTATACTAGAGACTGGTAGGAAATGGGTGCTTATCAAACTTAGGTTGATTGAATGAATGTATGAATGAATAAAAGAATAAGTCGGTCTAGATTTGGCCCAAATCAGAGACAAATTGTTATTGTTTTCCCCAGGGAAAATTGATTAAATTGATACATTCAAATTTCCCTGTCCAATGTAATTGAAAGTTATATGGCTGTGTAGTAGAAGAGTCAGAGCTTTCCAATTTGATAGCAAAAAAAAAAATGCTGAATAATTGGTTTGGAGTTGAAATGGTGTTATACATAAAAGGAAAAGTGACACATTAAATAGCTCTTTCTTAGAAATATAAGTGATCTCTCTCGGTCAGTAGAAACCTTAATAGCTTTTTAGAAACCCGCTGTGGCCGAGAATGAGTTGGCCATCCATGAGTGGTTACTAGTGGTCCTTCTTACAACTACATTGCACTGACATTAGCTGGCACCCTATGGTGGTAGATTCTGCACAGAGGCCATGGATGGAGCACATTTGGTAACTGAAAAATCCCACCACCTGTGGAGCCAATCTCTACAATGCAGGTTTAATTGTTAGACTGGCATTTCTTTTTCAGTACCTATCTTACATACAGAATGCCTGTCCTTGTTTCAGTACTTTTTCTCATATGTGTATTGTTCAAATTAATTTTATTTCAAAAGCCTGTCAAGAAACATAAAATAACTGTAACTAAATATCTCATTTCAGTTTTAATATCTAAATGCAAAGCCTATATATTTTTAAAAAATTCATTGCCTAATAGAACTTCATTTAATTTTCTTACATTGTGTGTTAGTAATATGACATGCATTAAATCAATGTGTTTATCATACATATTTAAACTGATTTTTTTATCCAATGATGTTCAAGACATGAACAATATTAATCCTAATTAGATCACAATGAGTCTCTATTTTTTTATTTTTCATATTTCTTCTCCAATAGTATCAGGTTACTTATGTAATATCACTATCTGCGAGTGTAATGGGACCATTTATTTCTACATGGCTTTAGAACAATTGGTGTTTACATCTTGAGTGTCTTAAGACAACATTGCTTGAATCTATTCAAGGACCAGCAGTACCAATCTCACCTGGGAGTTTTTAGGAATGTAAATTCTTGGGCCACACCTCAGACTTATGAACATCTAGGGGTGAAGCCCAGTTATCTGTATTTTAAAATATCCTTAGGCACACACTAAAGTTTGAGAACTACTGCCCGAGGGAAATACAATTTTACCATATTCTCTTCCAGTAAAATATAGCAAAAAACTTTTAATTCACAATTTTGTTTCTTCTTTTTTTTGTGCTTTTTTGTAATGTTACTTTATGTGCTTTTAAGTAATATCACTGAAAGGCTGGTGCAGAATTCTTAAAACATTAAGCATAAACAGTATTTGAATCATTAACATTTAACTTCAAGGTTTTCCTAAAAGTATTTCTGGCTTTCTGGAAAGTGACATATATATGTTTCCACCTTTGAAAGAACAAAATCATTAATTGTATATTCCAAAACATCAACTAATTGGCTACCTTAAGAAGTATTTGTGAAAAATAAACACATGCTAATGCATATTTGGAATAGGAAAATGTCACCAGCACCAACGGGGCAATTATAATTTGGCCTTCAACAGCATATTTTTAAGAGTGATGTGTACCACAACCTGAGAGTAAGTCAGATATTAAATCAGAGTCACACAAAAGAAGAATGAGATAGATTACAGTTATTCATCTTCATTTGTGCTTTAGGTATTTCTGTTGCCCTTTAAGGCATTCACCTAGTGGATGTTTCTATAAATAATAATTAATGATGGTGACAAATTACGCCTGGCTTCACTGTAGATAACTGAGACCATACAATAATATTAATATTGTAAAAAAAAAAAGGTATTCATTGGCAGGCAACTCTCATAAACAAATAGGACAGATACATAGACATGATATTACTAAGAGTGGAGAAGTAACCAGCCAGAGAGAATATTTAGAAAGAAATTGGTGGCATTGGTAAGATACCCTAAGGAACTGTTATAAGCATTTTCTTTACCTCTAGACCTTAAATCAATTTTATTTTCATATAAAAAGATATGGAGTTCATAAAAAATTAAATCATTAGTAATTTTACAGTAGTATACCTGACAGTTCTGACAGCCACTGTGGTAGCTTAGAACTATATTCCTTTGCCAGCTAAAATATTAATAGAACATTGACTAACTATCTTTTTCATGGTCTATAAGGCCCAGAAGTTATTATGAAATTCGGCTTTGCCTT